CTTTAGAGGGAACACTGAAGGAGGAGCTGTATTTGTTTTGGGGGAGGAGCTTTAGAGGAACACTGAGGGAGGAGCTGTATTTGTTTTGGGGAGGAGCTTTAGAGGAACACTGAGGGAGGAGCTGTATTTGTTTGGGGGAGGAGCTTTAGAGGAACACTGAGGGAGGAGCTGTATTCGTTTGGGGGAGGAGCTTTAGAGGAACACTGAAGGGAGGAGCTGTATTTGTTTGGGGGAGGAGCTTTAGAGGAACACTGAAGGGAGGAGCTGTATTCGTTTGGGGAGGAGCTTCAGAGGGAACACTGAAGGGAGGAGCTGTATTCGTTTGGGGGAGGGGCTTTAGAGGAACACTGAAGGGAGGAGCTGTATTCGTTTGGGGGAGGAGCTTTAGAGGGAACACTGAGGGAGGGACTATATTTATTTGGGGTGGAGTTTTGGAGCGAACACAGAAGGGAGGGGCTTTATTTGTTTGGAGGTGGCTCTTTGGACAGAACATTAAAGGGAGGGGCTGTATATGTTTGGGGTGGAGCTTCAGAGGGAACACTGAGGGAGGGGCTATATTTGTTTGGGGTGGAGCTTCAGAGGGAACACTAAAGGGAGGGGCTGTATTTGTTTGGGGTGGAGCTTCAGAGGGAACACTGAGGGAGGGGCTATATTTGTTTGGGCTGGAGCTTCAGAGGGGACACTGAAGGGAGGGGCTGTATTTGTTTGGGGTGGAGCTTCAGAGGGAACACTGAGGGAGGGGCTATATTTGTTTGGGGTGGAGCTTCAGAGGGGACACTGAAGGGAGGGGCTGTATTTGTTTGGGGTGGAGCTTCAGAGGGAACACTGAGGGAGGGGCTGTATTTGTTTGGGGTGGAGCTTCAGAGGGAACACTGAAGGGAGGGGCTGTATTTGTTTGGGGTGGAGCTTCAGAGGGAACACTGAAGGGAGGAGCTGTATTCGTTTGGGGGAGGAGCTTTAGAGGGAACACTGAGGGAGGAGCTGTATTCGTTTGGGGGAGGAGCTTTAGAGGGAACACTGAGGGAGGAGCTGTATTTGTTTTGGGGGAGGAGCTTTAGAGGGAACACTGAGGGAGGGGCTGTATTCGTTTGGGGGAGGAGCTTTAGAGGGAACACTGAGGGGAAAAGTAATTAAGGAAAAATGTTGGGAAATAGGCTGAAAACTCTTTAAGATGCTTCCACTTGCCCAGATATCATTTTTTTTTGCAGTGCAGTACTGTTTAAGGGTCAACTGGTCAAACTGATGTCGGCCATTCCGATCAATAGCCCCCGGAGGCGCAGAGGGTCAGACGCTCCCTACATAATGAGACCTCAGGTGCTCGTACCTGCTGCCGGAGAGCGGAATAAAAACACCCTGAACGATTAGCCAGGCGGTTCAGCTGTAGGCGTGGGCTGAAAAGCTAAACTGTATGTTTTGCAGTTTTGCCATGGTGAAATGGGCACACAGGCTCTAAAGCTTCGGGTTCTAACGTGATTAATTAGGACAGAAACAGGACACTGAGTACACACAGCTTTACAGCCACTGCTGTAGCAGCGACCTGCTCGCTTCGTGCTGTAAAACATACCATAAATTTCAACACGGAAAATATCCACACAGACAGTAATGATGCTGTTAATAATGAAGTTCCACTGGTTGGGCTTCAAGGACACTTTCTGTCCTTTTGGGTTCTATATTTGTGGAACCATTTGTCGTTTTTAACGGGGTGCAGCTCCTGTCTGACTTGATTGATGCTTTCAAAACCTCTGCAAACATCTGCTGGAGGCTCGATGCAGCGCGTAAGTTTAAGACCATGTTTAGAAAGAAATCTCAGACATTTTTCCAAGTTGTTGCTTGTAAAGGCAAACAGCGACAAGCTGCTATTTCAGTTCAGTTCATATTATTCAGAATATTAGCCACATATTATTCAGGAGAGCCAGATTTAAAGCAAATCACCAAATGTCTATCCAATGTTAGCAATGTTAGGATGTGCAAAATGTAAATAAAAACAGAATGCAATGATGTGCAAATCACTTAACCCATTTATTTAATTGAAAATAGCACAAAGGCAACATATCAAATGTTGAAATTGAGGCATTTTATTATTTTTTGAAAAATATATGCCCATTTTGAATTTTATGCCAGCAGCATGCTTCAAAACATTGGGACAGGGCCAACAAATGACTGGTAAAGTTGTGTAATGCTGAAAAGAACATCTCACAATGAATTAGGTTGATTGGCAACAGGTCAGTAACACGATTGGGTATAAAAGAGCATCTCAGAGAGGCTGAATCTGTCAGAAGTGAAGATGAGGAGGGGTTCACCACAATTAAATAGTGCAACAATTCAAGAATGACGTTTCTCAATGTAAAATAGTAAAGAACTTTTGCTTTTCATCATCTGTGGTACATAATATCATTAAAGACTCAGAGAATCTGGAGAAATTTCTGTATGTAAGGGACAAGGCTGAAAATCAATACTGGCTGGCTGTGATCTTCAGGCCCTCAGGCAGCACTGCATTAAAAACAGACGTGATTCTGTAGAGGAAATCACTGCATGGGCTCAGAAACACTTCTGAAAAACACTGTCTGAACACAGTTCATCTCTGCATCCTCAAATGCTTAAATGCAAGTTAAAACTCTAAAATGCAAAGAAGAAATCATATATAAACAGAATCCAGAAACGCTGCCGCCTTCTCTGGGCCTGAGCCCATTTAAGATTTAATACTGAGGTGAAATGGAAAAGTGTTCTGTGTACAAATCAAAATTTGAAATTGTTTTTGGAAATCGTGGACATCGCATCGTCCAGGCTAAAGAGGAAGAGTCTTTATATATTTTCAATTAAATATAGGGTTTAAATGATTTGCACCTTATTGCATCCTGTTTTTGTTTACATTTTGCACAGTGTCCCAACTTTTTTGGAAACAGATTTTGTAAACTTCTCACCAAGCTGTGGTGGTGAAGGATTCTCCTTGTCTATTTCTCAAGGTCTTAATGAAAACTTAGCTAAATGCTGCATTTTTATAGCTCACAGCTCATACTGTGTCCTAAACCACATCAACAACACTGCAAAACTGAAATTTTGACAAATGAAATGATCTTAAATTGTGTCACTATATCTAATATTTCACATGTTGAGATTGTTCTTAATTTATTATGACACATTTTCTATTTCTACACATTTTTGACTTGGTTTAATTAATTTTATTAAGTAAAATTATTCCACTACATTGGCAGATCATTTTGCTTCTTTCCTGGACACAGTTTGAGGGAGTTGAGAAAGGTGTTGAGGATGTTCAGAAAAAATTTGGGTGACTATTGACATCAAGTGTTTGTTAGCAATGTTAGCCTTGAAGATCTGGTGCAAAAGAGGATTTTGGACAAAATTTGGACACCAAACATGACTCGGCTGATTGACTGATCAACGCTATAGTAGGTTGTGAACTGTATACGTTTGATCTTTCCTAGAACCGTTCCTTTAAGAACCTGGTTTTGCTGTGTGAGCTCATTTCATCAGTGATGCACGTTCAGAAAGGAGCTGATGTTTCTTTGAAGTCAGCAAACTGTCCATTCTTTCAGCTGCTGTCAGAAAACATTAGTGCGAGGTTCTCTAACTCTGCTGAGCTGGGAGGGGACCAGGCAACGCTGAGCCAATGTGGGCAGCACATGCTCGCAATTTTGTTTTTACAGCTCACTTTCAGAGGCACGTTTTTAATATTTGTGCTTTTTTAAGGTCTCTAAAGCTGAAGAATGTGTAATGGCGAGCGGCGGATTCATCTGGCTCTAATTAGGAGGTGGATTGTTCTTCTAGACGATGGGGATTGAGCTGTTGGTGATTCTACACCATATTTTTACAACAGCCTGAACGTCGTCCTCATCTGTCAGGCAAATGGCTTTCTGTCAGCAAATGATTTGGCCTCTAATAGTCTATAATTAGGGCTGTTACACATATTTTAGATCTGATTCAATTTTCAATTCTGAGGTCAAACCTTAAACCAATTAAATATGTCATTAAGCAAAGCACAACATATTGGCAGAGCATTTTGTTTGATTTAAGAACATTAAGAACAAATTATTTTTTTTTCAACACTAATTTTTTAGTGTATGTAGCATTACAAATTTCCAAATCTGTAATTGTTAAACACTTCATAACTGAAAAAAATGTGTAACTGATAATGTTACATTCTAACTACATTCATAAAAATGATGGTTCTTCAAGAGCTCTGTAGTAAAGACAGTGGTTCTATATAGAACCAAGAACCCTCAAAGAACCATTGGCATTCTTAAATGGTTCTTCACATTGAAGTAGAATGTGTTGTATATGGTTCTATATAGAACTGTTTTGAAAAATTGTTCTATAGCACCAAAAGAGGTTCTTCTTTTTTACAATTTCAAGCTTTAAACACTAGAAGAACCCACTTGGGAAGAACCCTTTTGGTATTATGTAGAACAATATATAGTAATATATAGTATAGCAACATATAACACATTCTCCATCAATCTGAAGAACATTTGACCATGTGAATGGCCATTTGAGCATGCAAATGAATGTTCACGATTCTATATAGAACCATTGTCTTCACTGAGGAACCAGTGCAACAGTTTTCTAGCTGATGCTAAAGCTTCATGTTCGAGGCTCTGAAGGACTCAGTACGCAAAGTTTATTATGAAAAATTCTATTTAGTGTACAGTTTTGAACACATTCTATGACTATGGAGAGCTTATGTCCATTTATTTGCAGGCCGCTGGTCATTAGGTCTGCGCTGAAGTGCAGGTGGAGGTGTTTTCTGATGTTCAGCTGGTTCTGCTGTGAAGTGATGATGATGAAGAGAATAGCACTGCAGCCAGTGTTATATAGAGACATGATTTAGGCTGGAATGACTGGACTCTTAAAGCTTATGTAGAGTTTAACTCTGTCTCTCTCTCTCTCTCTCTCTCTCTCTCTCTCTTTATCTCTCTTTATCTCTCTCCCTTTCTCCCTTTCTCTCTCTCTCTCTCTCTCTCTCTCTCTCTCTCTCTCTCCAGGCGGCTGCACTGTACCAGGAACTACATCCACATGCACCTGTTTGTGTCGTTCATGCTGAGGGCCATCAGTATCTTTGTGAAGGACGTGGTGTTGTACTCTGGAGTGGCGCTGGAGGAGACGGATCGGGTCACCGTGGAGGATCTGAAGTCCATCACCGAGGCTCCGCCCGCCAATAAGGCTCAGTTTGTATGTCCACTCAGTCACCGATTCCTACATACACCATCGCTCAAAAATTTTAAAATGTTAAAAAAAGTAAAAAGTTCAAATGTTCTGTATTTCTTTTTGAAATTTTATGATCACAGTTCGATTCTTCAGAATTTCTCATCTAAAATGCACAGTTGCTGCTCAAAAATTCTGAATTTTGTATAAAAAATGTACAGTTTCTGTTCAAAAATTCTAACATAAATATCGAGTTGCTGTTCATTTACTTACCAAACATTTACAGTCACAGTTCAGAGGTTTAGAATTACTGTCCAAAGGTTTACCTCACTAACAATAACATTGGTTTTATTCAGATTAATAGTTTTAATTAATATTGTCCATTTTGCAGTCAGATGTTCAAATCACTGTTCAAAACTGTGTTTTCTACAATATAAACATACTTTGTAGCAGATAAAATGCTGTAAAGGAATGTAGAAAAGTTAGATGTGTCCAGAGTGACAAACAGAGCTGTAGAAGATTCTACAATGAAAAGTTCTAATAAAATTAACATCCAGAAAACCTATAGTTTCAAACCTGGCTATGAAATCTCAAAGCACACATCTATAAATAGATAATTACAGTGTGTTCTTTGACATTTAAAAACCTTTTCTTGTTACGAAAAACTTTCTACAAATATTTTCGGATATCTAGTTGGTAAGATGCAAATCTATGTTGGTTAACTTATTTATAGAGTAACAACATTTAATATGATCCCAGACTTTGGAACAGCAGTGTAGATCAGAAATTCTGCTTATCTGCAAGTTTCTGCAGAAGGTTTGAATGCTGAGGATCTGCAGAAGGTTTGAATGCTGAGGATCTGTAGAAGGTTTGAACGCTGAGGATCTGCAGAAGGTTTGAATGCTGAGGATCTGTAGAAGGTTTGAATGCTGAGTATCTGTAGAAGGTTTGAACACTGAGGATCTGCAGAAGGTTTGAATGCTGAGGATCTGTAGAAGGTTTGAATGCTGAGTATCTGTAGAAGGTTTGAACACTGAGGATCTGCAGAGGGTTTGAATGCTGAGGATCTGCAGAAGGTTTGAACACTGAGGATCTGCAGAGGGTTTGAATGCTGAGGCTCTGTAGAAGGTTTGAATGCTGAGGATCTGTAGAAGGTTTGAAAGCTGAGTATCTGCAGAGGGTTTGAATGCTGAGGCTCTGTAGAAGGTTTGAATGCTGAGGATCTGTAGAAGGTTTGAAAGCTGAGCATCTGCAGAAGGTTTAAATGCTGATGGTCAGGCAGGGCGGGGGAGAGATCATTGCTGGTTCAGTGCTAAAGCTATAGCAGCTCCATTAAGACAGCGGTAGTGCTCTCCACAGCCCACTGCACTGAGCAGAGCACATAGATTTTACAAATCAGCTCCAATTTGCCCTTAATTTGCATCTGAACCTTCTGAAGACCACAAGCTCCCCTTACCTCGTTGAACTCTTTTTGGTTCTACTCAGAATCTGAGAGCTGAGGGCACCGCCAGCCGTGTGTCTGTACCGCACCGCTAATTAGCATGCTACGTAGTAATGAATAATTGTTTTGTTTTGAGTGCACGGGGAGCCATTTCTTAATCCCCTGAGGTCCATCGCTGACTGGGCCAAGCTCATTAACATACTATTTTCCATTCTTTATAAATTTGTCTCTGACTTTTCACCCATCTGTACTGTGCAAACATCAGAGACCCCAATTTATTAATCTAATTTCCAGTCAAAACAGCCATTAAACTCGAGTTACTCATTTATCAGGAGAACTTTCTGAGAAGATCAGATATAAGATAATCCACATGCATAATGTAGGAGAAACTCAATGGAAAATACGTAAAAAATGGGCCTGCTAACAACCACCTGGAAGACCTGGTCGACCCCAAAACTGCCCCCATCAGATAAACAGCACTTAAAGCTTTCATCTCTGAGAGAGAGGAGAAAATCAAGCTGCTTCAGATCTGAAAACATCCACAGGTGTTTCTGTCCATCCTTCCACTGTGAGAAGACGACTCAGCGCTGTGGGTCTGAAAGGATGTGTAGCTGATCAAGAAGAACCTCACTGAGAAAAGGAGACGGACACACCAAACAAAGAAGCTGAACGATGGACTGACCACCCCAGAGTCCAGACCTCAACACCAGTGAATGTGTTTGATTACTTCAGAAAGTGATCAACCAGCTTCTAAGACTGAACTTTGGAGGCGTGTCTGCAGATTCTTTGAGGAGCTGAAAGTGAGTCTCCTGAAAAGAGTGGAAGCTGCAATAAATGTAAAGAGTGACTCACTGACTCACACAGCTGAGATTAGAGTTAGCTGTTGAGGCTTCTGGGTAATTTTCTGTTTAATATGTTTTCTGCAGTTATTGTGACACTTATTAATAAATAACTCATCCTTAATGGCTGTTTTGACTTGAAATTAAACCAGTGAAGGTCTCTGACTGTCATGCAGAATATGTATATGATCCTTTTAGAACAGAATCAACATTTTAACACAGTAAAGCCAGTTTTGTTCAGATGAATGTGAAATGGGCCTTTTTCATTGTGCTGTTGTAATGATGCTGGGCCAGGAGTGGTGGGTTAATCGGTCAAATGAACGTGGAGAAAGACTGGGTTCCTCTGATTCTGGATGAAGGACTGATGGTGCTGAAATGTGTGTTGGGAAGACTATAATGCATTAAAGTGAACTCTAAACGTGTGAATAAGAAGTTGAAATGAAAGCTCTTGTTATTAAAGAGGTGCTCGACTGAATCCATCACACTTTAAAAGATTGATTACCTGATGAAAGCTAATAACAGCTCACTTCACAGGACGTTTGACAGGAAGGCAGTCGTGAGCTAAATGATTGTCTTTCTCCCAAATAAGAAAATAATGTTTTTCTCTTTGAGATTTTATTTTTTTAAGCAGCAGTTCCTAAACCAAGACCACAATAAATAAATAAATAAATAAATAAATAAATAGAGGCTTAAAAACAACCCAGATAGCATCATTTCTATATCCAAGTGCGGCTTGGGTAACACAAGCTTGTTTGTTTGCTAATAATGCATTTTAGTTTTTTAAATTGTTACATTTTCTTTTTCTTACTACAATAGTTAGGTTATCAGGTTAATATCTACTGCTCAATAATGAAAACCTCTTCAGTTTATTTATATCTAATATCCTTACCTGTGACAGTAAGGCCCAATCCCATTTCACCCCTCGCCCCTACCACTGAGCCCTTACCCCTCTGTTTTGCGTGTTCACGTCTAGCGGTAGGGTGTCCTGATTCTTGTTGAGATAGAGGGGTAGGGCGAAGTGTTAGAGCTACATGACCCTCCAAACGGAGGTTTTTTTAGAGACTCCAAACAGAGCAAATCTGGCAAGATGGAGCCCAAGAGACCAAAGAAACCCACAAATGTGAGAATTTTCTGATTTCAAAAATTACGATAACCATTATATTATCTTAGTTTAATGTTGTTTCAGTGTATTATGGTCGTTTTCTTCATAACAAGCATAAAAAATCGCTAATAGTATGCTAATGTCTCGGTTGCTAGCTAGCTAACTTTCCTGTTCCACCTTAAATAGTCCAGCAGTTCTGATGCCTGAAGCGCCAGAATGTAACTGCTGCACCATTTAAGGTGGAACAGGAAAATTCGAACAAGAAGCTGGTGAATATCTGACTTCAGCTTCATATCACTGAAGAATTAGGGGTGGGTGATAATAAATAATTGCCCCCTCTTTGAAGATCATATGATGCCCTAAATGTAACTAAAGCCCAGCAGTGAGGAGCTGAACTTTACCCTCCTCTGCTGTCACTGCAGACTGGCAGGGTCGCCCTACAGAGCAGCGCTGGTAGCTGTTAATGAAGTGATGCTCTTTTTATTTGAGGATCCCATTTCAGAGGGAAGATTTCAACCACTACCCTGTAACTCAGTTCAAAGGGGATAGGGTGACACTCGAAAACAAGGGGAAGGGGTAAAAAGAAGAAATGGGACTGGGCCTAAGAGAAGAGGGATGATATAAAGTTAACGCTTATCAAGTTTGTTTAAAGAACTAGCTCAGTGGTAGGCTACTTTTATTATACTATTAAGATTAAAAAATGCTTAAAAATATTGTCATTTTCAGCCATATATTTCAAAAAATATAAATTTGGCTACATCTATCAGTGACCCTCCAGTAAAACAGTGGAAACAGTTAGTTGCTATAAGTTATAGAGAACTAACATCAACTAATCGTATCTCAGCCAGTAAAATTTTCTCAAGATCTTAAATTATTCATTTCATTATCATGACATAGCAAATGTTTTTTTCTCAAGATATTAATTCCATTATCAGGACATAATTAATGCTATCTTGACAAAACAATGTCTGTTATATCATGATAATTATATAAATAATAACCACAATAGTTTCACAGTGATAATGACAGAAATATCATAAGTATCATTACTGAGTGAGGAGAACAAAAACAGGCTAAAGTATGGTGAGTGTGAGCTGCTGTGAGTCGCCCTGTAAAGCCTGAAGTAATTATTTTAAAGGTCAGAGGCGTCAGAGTGTTTCACACCACATCATACGTCTTTATATATTGAAGTCACATACAGACTCATAAAGAAGGTCCAGCTCGATGTTTTGGCCTCAGATGATCTGAAAATCAGCATCATACTGATGAAGATGTGACGACAATAGTAGATAATTCACTCTCATCCTCAGAGACGCGTCCGAGTTTAGACTGCGTTCTCTTTGAATTCTCTTTCAGTCATCAGATTCATCCAGGGAAGGTGGGGGAAACATAACCCACCTTACAGAATGTTCTGCATGCAGTTACACATTTTCACCAGAGGGGTCTCCAAATCCCCAAATCTTACAGAGTGTAGCTTTAGTATGTGAAAGTCTATATTTTATGGACGTTCACCTGTTGATTTTTGTAAGGACTCCTGCCTGATTAGAAGCTGTTTAACCGTCTCCGTTCTGGAGTCCTCGGAGTTTGTTGTGTTTGGAAAATAGACCCACTGTATGGGGGGGTTTATTGTCACATGGTCACTAACGCAGCAGCTCAGCTCTTCAAAAACTACCAAAGAAATAACACAACAAAGTGACCCAACAGCCTCAGCCCATCATTTTTATGGTGCAGTATGGTTGCCAAATTTAATCTGCGGCAACACCCCCCTGTGTTTGAGGGGGTGGACGTGGAAGGGGTGGGTGCTGGAGGGTTGGAGTGTCTGGTCAGTTTTAGTCTAACTCTTCTGTCTTTTGTTCTTCTACAGGTGGGCTGTAAGATTGCGGTCACCCTCTTCTTGTACTTTCTGGCCACAAACTACTACTGGATCTTGGTGGAGGGCCTGTATCTGCACAGCCTCATCTTCATGACCTTCTTCTCCGACAGGAAGTACCTCTGGGGCTTCACTCTGATTGGATGGGGTAAGCAGATGTGGACGTTCTTTGGAGCAAATCGTACAGCCTATAAAAGCATAGCTTAGTGGTTGTTATAGTGTAGTGGGCGACACCTTTGTCCTCCTTGCTGCAGGGTTTGAGTCCCTGCCTGGGCAACCACCCTCAACCACTCTAGAGTTTACCAATAAGAGTCTCTAGACCAAAACGCCTAAACACTACCTTCACCTACCTTTGAATGATCACTGTATGTCACTCTGGATGAAAACATAAAAGGCTATATTACAGATTAAGTATAAGGTCAATGCTAAATATGTTATCCAGTGCAGTGGTCAGATTTAGGTAGGAACCATTAGTTTAAGTTTCCTTTAGGTTTCACAGAAACAGCTACTATAATAAACTGTCCCAGGAGGTCAGTGTAGCCGGTCAGTCTACAGGCCATGTGAGGTTTAGTTTTATAACATTAATGTGACTCTAATGAGCCAAAACATCTTATTTTGAGAGAAAAAGGACAAAGAAAAGACAAATGAATGAATGAAATTAATGTTTATGTTGTAATTAAGACCCCATCTGTTCAAATGTTCCCAATTGTGTTTTGCACACAGAGGAATTAGACCTCCGCATTTAACCCATCCGTGCAGTGAACACACACATACATGCACACTAGTGAACACACACACTAGGGGGCAGTGAGCACACTTGCCCAGAGCAGTGGGCAGCCCTATCCATGGCACCCGGGGAGCAGATGGGGGTTAGGTGCCTTGCTCAAGGGCACTTCGGTCACGAACTGTCGGCTCAGGGGATCAAGCCGGCCACCTTCCGGTCACAGGGCTGGTTCCCTAACCTCCAGCCCACGACTGCCCCACATAAGCCTCACATAAGGTTAAGAAAGGTTAATTTTAAACCCTTATAATAAAAGAAGCTGAACTCACTATTTTTTTTTCTACTGAAATTCAACCCATTTTTCCTCAAATCTGGGCTATAAACTATAAACAGATGGCGTCTCTTCAGTGATCTGCTCTGTAAAAATTACTTTTATAAAAAAATATAAAGAGCGTCTAAGATGTTTGGCTTTCAGCAGTAAATTGTAAGCATATAGCAATACGTGTATGATCATAATTGGGGACAGTCGTGGGGCTGGAGATTAGGGAACCAGCCTTGCGACCGGAAGGTCGCTGGCTCGACCCCCTGAGCCGACAGTACGTGACTGAGGTGCCCTTGAGCAAGACACCCAACCCCCAAGTGCTCCCCGGGCGCTGCGGACAGGGCTGCCCACTCCGGGCAAGTGTGCTCACTGCCCCCTAGTGTGTGTTCGACTAGTGTGTATGTGGTGTTTCACTGCACAGATGGGTCAAATGCAGAGGTGAAATTCCCCGTTATGGGACTAATAAGGGTCACTTAGTCTTAATCTAATCTTAATAAAATACATTTTCTGTTAATTTGAGGGAGAACTTTTACAAAAAAAACCCAAAGATTTACAGTTATTTCATGCAGTTACTGAATAATTTGCCTTATGATTTGGGCATGAAAATTCAAATGGAAAAACCAAAATATACCTACAAGCATAAGAGGTTAGTTTCAGCACTGGCTAAATGAAAAACCCTAATACTGCTAACGAGTAATGGAAGCTTAATATCAACTAGCATGATGCTAACTGTGAGTCTAATTCATCAAACTCTGAGGAGGTGTCCAGTATCTCTAATAGACTTATGGATTCTTAAGAGATGATGTGGTTTCTGACACTGTATGACTCCCTGTTATCTATAAACATGGACTAAAGGTTTAATTATGCCTGCTATTGTTTTTAGCTTTATGCTAATGTACGTTAGTCCGTGTTTATAGACAACTGTGAGTCAGAAACCTCATAATCAAGTTTATCAGAGATACTGAACACCTCCACACAGCATTTGTTGATTTAGGCATGTGATTAGCATGCTAACAATCGCCCACTACTCATTAGCTACATTAGCTTTGTAGCTCCAGACCAAAAACTAAGAAAGCAAACTTAAGGTACCAAACATGTCGTAGCCAATCAGCTACATTCGGGATAAGGTGGAACTCCTTTAACACTCACGTTGGCCAACATGCCGTTCAGCTCAGCTACAAGTTTCTTTCTTTCATGTGCTTTGAAACAGCATTAGAAGTCGTCATTTTGGAACAGTCTCTTCTGACTTCAAAGCAAATTAATGCTCTGATCTTGTCGTTTCGTCATGACGGATGGCAGCGTAGGAGCCTCTGAAGATCCATTCTGTCTTCATCGGTGTGGCCAAGAAAAAAAAACTGCACATTAATATATGGAATACAATGCATTCAGTCTTAATAGATGAAAAAGGAAGGTTCTCAGAAACCAAACTACCACAATTACTGTGATCACTGTAGGGCTGTAGGGTCACACAGGGATCCAGGTATCTTTGTCACAGTGCTTTTTGTAACTTGCGCCTTAATTTTGTGAGACTGTGGCTGATAATTACCAGCAGCAGTGATTAAAGCCCGGTGTGTAGTTTCAAAGGCTGCGCTGTCAGTGATGTTAATATATTTGGCCGCTACATGAGCTGGAAGATGAGCAGCGCCGGATATTTGGTCCCCCACAGCGCCTGCATTGTACACACTGTGCGAAATGTGTGTGCACAGCGCATACAATGTGGATGCAGTGGAGCCAGTTCACTTCAGAGCAACCGGACGACAGCTGAGGTTTTAAATAAACTCCCCGGCCACTTTATCAGAAACCCCTCCAACTCATAAAGTGGCCAGTTAGTGGAAGTAGAAGGGTGGTGTTTCTAATAAAGTGGCCAGTTAGTGGAAGCACAAGGTAGGTGTTTCTAATAAAGTGGCCAGTTGGTGGAAGTAGAAGAGTGGTGTTTCTAATAAAGTGGCCAGTTAGTGGAAGCACAAGGTAGGTGTTTCTAATAAAGTGGCCAGTTGGTGGAAGTAGAAGGGTGGTGTTTTAATAAAGTGGCCAGTGAGTGGAGGTTCAAGGTAGGTGTTTCTAATAAAGTGGCCAGTTAGTGGAAGCACAACGTAGGTGTTTCCATTAAAGTGGCCAGAGGGCGAACTGATGTCATATTACTCGATTCAAATTCATCACAGTGATTTAGCCTGTAAATAAAATACATCCCTTATCTACTTTATTAAAACTCCTACCTTTATAACATTTTATGATAAATGGATGAATAGTATTGGTCCATAATTACCTGGAATGAACTCCTGTGATGTAATATTTTTGTACACTGAAGTTAAACTGTTTTCCCTGTAGAGTTACAGTTTCAGAGATGGGAGCTTTTCTTAATGACAGGGATGTCATGCTGTGTTCCAGGTGTGCCAGCCATGTTTGTGACCGTGTGGGCCAGCGTCCGAGCCACTCTGGCCGACACTGAGTGAGTGTTCCAGTTACCGTGGAAACCACACACACACACACACACACACACACACACACACACACACACACCTAGTCCACACACAATGCTGAACAAATGTCACTCCAAAATGACCTCATCAACTCAAAGTGACAGCAGCATCCATCAGACCCCGCAGCCCTGATGTGCTTCTCAAACAGAGACAGTGGTCGATTCTCAGTGTGAGCTAAAATGATAAAAATGGAATAAACAGCTCGATTTTTCATTTTTTAACTGTAGGACCAAAACCACTTTATTTTGATTACTGCACTTATGATGGTTAGGGTTAGAGGTAGGTTTAGAAAATTGTTACTACATATAGATACTAACATATATTATATATTTAATATACATGTATTATATTCAAGTACATATATCACAAAGGAAATTATATGTAATATATGAGGAGATTTAAAAAGATTTATCCAATTTCAAACTGATTTATTTCACTTGTAAATCATTACAGATCAATGCAGTGAACTGTAAATGGTTTAAATGAGTATAAAGTTTATTATGTAATTGTACAAGGTCTCAGTCTGAACCTCCTCCAGCTGTACAGAAAACATCAACGCCATAGTCAAACTCATCCCATACTGGATTGAGCATGTCGGGTGTCGCTGCACTCACAGCTCTTTCAGTGCGATTTCGGAGATCATCCAGTGTTGTGGAACCAACAACGAACGCTCTGAGCTGTTGGAGCTTCACTGACCACGAAAATCACACTGCACAGTTATGACTGATTCACTCTTATTGAAGTAGAGAACGCAGAACGCTTTCTGCTCAGGGGTCTCATCTCCTCTCAGACTGAAGGGAGCCATCTTCCACTGACAGTCAGAAACTCTATGACCCCCTCTTTCAATTGGATTGTGATTGGTTCCTAGGTGCCTCATGGTTGCAAAAATATGGCGCTTTGAAATCGGAAATTAATCTTTTGAATCACCCTGTATACTGGACTTATTGGACTTACAAAAAATACACACTGGATATATTATTATTACATGAATATGCACACTTGCATGTATAATACATATGGGACTTTGTTATTACATATAAATACACATAAATGTAAAAATGTAAATGTGTTATAAATTAAATTATTGCACCTTCATAGAGACTTATATGTATATTATATATTGCTGTAGTCAGAAAAAAAACTCATATATATATACATATATATATATATATATATATATATATATATATATATATATATATATATATATACACATGGGATATTCTATATGTATGACCCCTCAATCTGACAGATCTCTCTGTTTGTATGTGTTTGTTTCGGGTGCAGGTGTTGGGACCTCAGTGCAGGCAACCTGAAATGGATTGTTCAAATCCCCATTCTGACAGCCATCGTGGTGAGTTTTATAGCCACAGCTCTGAAATAACTCAGACATACTGAAGTGTGAACACAGGTTTATAAAGATTTATGTTGGAAATATAGTTTTAATGTTAGACTGTCTCTCAGTCACATTACACACCAGTGCACTCATAATGTCTCATAATGAATAACGCTTCATCTGAGGGCTCCTTCACATCTTCACGGGGTCATCAGGGCACACGCAGGAGCACTGAATAACATTACCACGAAGTAATACATCAACAGCTGATGAACAGCCAGATGTTTCATGAAGTAAATGACATTGTATTGACATTAGGTGCCTCAGAATGAAGTGATGGACAGTCATAAACTGATATGAAGGGGGGCTTTTACTTTTACTCAAAAAAAACATTTGTGTATGTATTTGTATATAAATGAAAAAAAAATATGAAAATTGTTACTTAGGTTCAAAAAAGGGTGTCAGTATCTTCCACAGGACTGATATACAGTGTTCTTAAACAGGCCTCTGGGTTATGAGATCCATTACTTGGGAATGATACTTAATAACAGTGTTATAAATAAAACAAATGTTTAGTTAATATCAGTGCAACATCATTTACTTCATAAAATGTCGTGCCATCTTGCAATTACCTCCAAATCGGTTCAAAAGTGTTTGAGTATTGCTTTATAAATACCTTATTCAGTGCTTATCCATGTGTTATGAAGTCCTAATGTAGGTGCTGATGCTTTGTGTGTATTTATCTTCATCCAAAGATACATTTTGAAATGATCAGTGTCCGCAAACTCTGTAATTATGTAAAATCTGTCTTGGAATGATTGTTATAAATGTATAATTAAACTCCTGAGTATGCGTTTTTGTTTCCTCTGTTCTGCTGTCTGAAGGTCAATTTCTTGTTGTTCTTGAACATCATACGAGTTCTGGCGACGAAGCTACGAGAAAGCAATGCGGGAAGATGCGACAGCAGGCAGCAGTACAGGTGAGAGGCCAAAAATAGGACTTTTAGAAGTTAATATTTTTATTTACTCGTGTTTTAATATTATCTTTTTATATGAGGCTCATTAACAAAAGCCTCATTAAAGTGTAGCATGACATATCATGGTAAATTTAGGAATAATGATACAGAACAATACAAATTTATATACATACACACACACACATATGCATATATAAAAAATATATATATATATTGCTGTCATTCGGGGCCGTTTCTTTTGGTCCATTCATCATGAAATTTACACACAATGTAAACAGCAATATATATATATATTATATATATATTATATATATATTATATTATATGTATTATTTGATGGTCCATTCATCATGAAACAAGCCCTTTCTGAAATTATTTCAGTAAATAAGCTGTAAATAACAAACATTCTATAAATAATTACAGTTCATTATGTATCATTTTATAATTTACAGTAAATGAGTTGCCAGTAAAGTACTGTATATTCATGGTGGATACTACGCTGGAGATCTCTGGTCTAAACATGTGCATTTGGATTAGTCTCCCAACATTTGTTTTGAAGTGAAAATGGGGCTCTCTGAAGGTTCTCTAGCTTTGTTGTTCAGTTGGCCCCAAAATATTGATTCATAAGTCATAATATAGCTGAAATTATATTTTTGTGAATATGGTAATGCACAATTTCCACAATGCAGTAACAAATTCAATAATTCTAAAGACAAATGAGCATAAAAGTGTCCCAAAACTACTGTTGAGCGCTGTGTCATGTTCTCATACACTCAGGGGTCTATGTAGAACCGTAAACACTTGCAGAAGTAAAAAGGCTTCTTTGCATGGTGAAATGGTTCTTCAGATTGATGGAGAATGTTGTATAGATGGTTCTATTTCAAAAAGGATTCTCTATGGCACCAAAGGGGTTCTTCTATTGTTATGATGTCGAGCTTGTATTAATAGAAGAACCCATTTTGGTGGTATATAGAATCCATTTTGAAAAGGTTTTAGATAGAACCACCTACAGTACATTCTCCATCAATCTGGAGAACGTTTCACCATGCAAAGAACCATTTAATCCATTTATATAGAACCATTTTCTTTACTAAAGAAAACGGTTCTGTATAGAACCATAAACACTTGAAGAAGTAAAAAGGGTTCTTGCATGGTGAAATGGTTCTTCAGTTTGATGGAGAATGTGGTATAGATGGTTCTATTTCAAAAAGATTCTGTATAGCACCAAAAGGGTTCTTCTATTGTTATGATGTCAAGCTTCTAATAATAGAAGAACCCATTTTGGTGCTACACAAAATCCTTTTCAAAATGGTTTTAGACAGAACCACCTACAGCACATTCTCCATCAATCTGAAGAACCATTTCATGATGCAAAGAATCCTTTTTACTTCTTCAAGTGTTCATGGTTCTATATAGAACCATTTTCTTTACTAAAGAACCCTTGAAGAACCATCATTTTGAGACTGCACAGAATGAGGCTGCATGTATGAACTGTGCATGTGTTACTGTGTTGTACAGGAAGCTGTTGAAGTCCACGCTGGTCCTGATGCCGCTGTTCGGCGTCCACTACATCGTGTTCATGGCCATGCCGTACACAGAGGTGTCCGGCGTGCCCTGGCAGATACAGATGCATTACGAAATGCTCTTCAACTCCTTCCAGGTATTGCTTTAAACTCCTTCACTCCCTCAGTCACAAAGAACATCAACTGGCGCTTTTATGCTCAGATATATCATGAAGGATCTCTTTTATGTTCCCGCCTCCGCTTATTGAAGTCTCCCTTTTTATCTTCCTCAGGGCTTCTTTGTTGCTATTATATACTGCTTCTGCAATGGAGAGGTAAGATCATCAACGTCTGGATGTCCTGAAGGAAACGGGGACGAGTGAATAGAAACTATATCCTCTGGTCTCATTAATCACTGAGGCTTTCTGATACTTCACACACATCGTTTCACTCCTCAGGATCCCAGCCTTACATCTATACGGCCGCATTATTCAGCATCTACGTGAAAAACAGTGCAAACTGAGTTATAATACAGCGGTGAGGTGAAGAATGGAAGAGTAATTCAGACTCTGTCCATTTACAGGATTAAGTTAACCCTTAGAGGTCAACAGTTATTACTTGTAAGGCGTAACAGAAAAGGGTCCACACTAAAAATCCTCCAGTTTCACTGTAGCTACTAAATAATTTATAGTACTTACTTAATAATTCATTAGCAGATACTCAATAACACATATTAGACACGAAATAATTTATAGTAAGTACTGAATAATAATAATGTATAGTAGATACTCAATTATTTGTAGTAGATACTCAGTAACTCATAGTAGATGCTGAATAATTCATAATAGTTACCGAGTGAAACATAATAGATAATATATAATTCAAACTACTTCACTATTTATATTTCATAATAGTTACTGAACAATTCGGAATAGTTTGTGAATTATACAAAGTAGATAAGGTACAGTTTGAACTAAATACTGAATAATTCATAGTAGATACTGAATATTTCACAGTAGAAACTGAATAATTCATAGTAGATACGGGATAATGCATAGTAAGTAATGTTTTGATTGATCCAAATACTGAACAGTTCAGTAGATTCTGACTAACTCATAGTAGATTCTGAATAATCCATAGCATATACTGAATATCTCGTATATGCTGAATGATTCGAAGTAGATGCTAAATTATTAATAGTACTTACTAATTAATTCATAACAGATACGGAATAATTCACAGTAGATTCTAAATAATTTACAGTAGATTCTAAATAATTCATTGTAGATACTGAATAATTCATAATAGTTACTGAATAATACACATGTAAGTAATGCATACATTGAAATTAATACTGAACAATTCAGCAGATTCTTATATACTCAGTATATATACTCAGTAATAATACATAATAGATACTGAATCATTCTTAATCATTTACAGCAGATACTGAATAATTCATATTAAATAATGTGTAGATTGAACCAAATCCTGAACAATTCAGTAGAATCTGAATGATTCATAGTAGATACTGAATATTTCACAATAGAAACTGAATAATTCATAATAGTTACTGAGTAATACATAGTAAGTAATATGTAGATTAAACCAAATCCTGAACAATTCAGCAGATTCTGAGTAATCCATAGCATATACTGAATATCTTGTAGATGCTGAATAATTCATAGTAGATGCTGAATAATTCATAGTAAGCAATGTGTAGATTGAACCAAATCCTGAACAACTCAGTAGCTTCTGAATAATTCGTAGTACTTACTAATTCATTCATAACAGATACAGAATAATTCACAGTAGATTCTACATAATTCATAGTACATACTGAATAATTCATGATATTTACTGAATAATTCATATTAGGTACTGAATAATTGATAGTAATTACCAAATCATTGATAGTAGTTCCTGAATGATAAATCTGGTTGATCAGGTAAGATGGTTTTGGAGTCTGCCGACGTATGTATAGTGTGGAAACTGTGTAAATGAGATGTCTGGCTGAGCTGGAGACGTTTGCTGGCTTTTCTCCAGGTCCAGGCAGAGATTAAGAAGTCGTGGAGCAGGAGGACCTTAGCGCTGGACTTTAAGAGAAAAGCCCGCAGCGGCAGTAACACGTACAGTTACGGGCCGATGGTTTCTCACACCAGTGTGACCAACGTGACGGCTCGCGGCCCGCTGGCTCTTCACCTGACCACCCGGCTGGGGCCGGTCACCAACGGCCACCGGAACCTCCCTGGCTACGTGAAGAACGGCTCTGTTTCAGAACAGTCCATCCCCTCCTCCGGCCAGGAGCTCCACATCCAGGAGGAGGAGCCGTCAAAGAGCGTCCAGGAGGACAACAAACCTACACCATTGGTGGAGGAGGAGAGGGAGACGGTCATGTGACCCTGGGAGCTTCGGTAGAGGTCATGTGACTCTAGGAGCTTCAGTAGAGGTCATATGACTTCCAGAACTTCGGATGAGGTCACACTCTAGGAGCTTCGGTGAAGGTCGTATGACTTTGGGGACTTCAGCCGAGGTCATGTGACCCTGAAAGCTTCCGCTGAGGTCATTTGAGTCTGGAAGCTTTAGCTGGGGTCATGTCAGGGTCTTTCAGTGGTCATGTGACTGGGAACGTTTGCAGAAGCCACATGACTCTGGAAGCTTCAGCAAAGAAAATGGATGCTGCGTGTTTATTGTGAGATTTAGAGTGAGATAAAGAGCGTAAGAAGAGCCTTCATTCCTCAGGATGTCCTTCAGAGCTGGAGTTTGCTGACCTGCAGCTAAACGCTAATGGCCAAAGGCTTAAGGCTAAAGGCCAAATGTGATGATGGCTGTCGTTTAGATGAGCCCTCATGTCCTTAATGGACAAAAAGGAACTATGGAGACCAGGTCGACGTCACCAGCAGCATTTGGAGGACAAAAATCAGACTATTTTCCTTTTGTTTTCTGAGAAATTCTGTTGCGGATTAGCTGTAATGCTAATATGTAATATACTGTATGTATTTTTGAACATGTGGCGCATTTCGAAGGAAAAACAAGCAGGTCAACTTTCAGGTTCATCTCATCTCCATTGAATAAGGCATCGTTGAGCTTCTCATGGGCTTAATCCAAATGTTTGTGTTTGTGTTAAAGTGATAGTCAAACTTGCACCATTTCCCTCCTTGCCCCAAAGGTCAGAGATCGGCCGAGGTATGTTTGTACTGAACATACTAAATACTTTAATAGAGAATTTTAGTTCAGTCTTGTTATCAGCTGCCTGTCAGGTTCAACATGGCTTCAAATAACGAGGCTTTTATCATAGAAGAACTTTCAGTCTGGATTACAGAACTAAAGCGCTTCAGGCAGTAAATACAGCGTTTAAAGGAAAGAGGCAAAGCAAACCGAAACGGTTGGCTAGCATGTAGTTACACAGCACGTGTTAGCTAGCTTGTGTACCATTTTTGGGAAATTAGCAATCACATTAGCTAGCATATGTGCTACCCAAACTACCTGGTTATCAAACAGATATTAACCCAGCGGCACGATATTTTTGGAACTCTGCTGACTGTATGCTGCTGTTGGTCGACCAACCGACCATCCAGATCATCATCCATTATACAAGAGCACGTGGATAACTTTAAGTAGTCCCAACTAGTTTTGTAATCTCCTGTGACCATTTTTAAATACAAGAACTTTTATTATGAAACATTAAATGACGACCTTAGAAGACCATTAAGAAAAATGGAACTAAAACTTTGTTTTTTTTTACTTTACCAGATTCTTCTCTGCTCTCTCACATATATAATTAACCGCCTGCTATGAGGTTTCAGGGAGAGAAATTAAGAAAATGCATTTTAAAAAATGATTTGTATGTTTTTTAAAATGTTTAAAAAAAAGCTTATTATTTGAAGCTGTACTGAACCTGATGATTATAATGGCTGCTCATGACTGTAGCAAAACTGATCGGAAAGTAAACGCATTAATTTATTTACTGCATTAAGATCGGTGCTCAAAATTGAATCAACTTTAGTTTTTTTTGTTTGTTTTTCTCGGACTGAAATTTCACAACTCTTCGGTATCGAGTCGGAGTTGAGTCATGAGTTATGAACAGAAGTTTTCATCATACACACTTAAAAAAGATGCTTCTTCAAGGGTTCTGTAGTAAAGAAAATGGTTCTGTATAGTACCATGAACACTCAAAGAACTCTTTGCACGATTAAAGACATCTTAGCGTCATGATTCTCCAGATTGATGAAGAATGTGCTGTAGATGGTTCTATATAGAACCTTTTTGAAAAGGATTCTAAATAGCACCAAAAAAAGGGGTTTTCTACTGTTACAATGTCAAGCTTTTTGGTGCTGTATAGAACCGTATTTAACACATTCTCCATCAATCTGAAGAACCATTACACCATGCAAAGAACCATTTAAGCATGCAAAGAGTTCTTTGGGTGTTCTTAGCTCTATTTACAATCATTTTCTTTACTAAAGAACCCTTGAAGAACCACTGTGTGTAGTTTTGCACTAAAGTAGCCTACAGGTGATAGAAGCCTAAACTCCACCAATTAGCATGGTGCTAACCGCAGGCCTAGATCATCACATGCTCTCCTCAAACCGTGTGGAGGTGTTCAGTATCTCTAATAGACTGCAGTATTTGGTATCTGACACTGTAGGATACACTGTTCTCTACAAACATGGACCAGAATAGTGTTAGAACCCACATAATCAGGTCTGTTAGAGATTAGATAGAACTCAACATGGCCTGAGGTGAGCGTGAGATGATGGAGGAGAAGTTTGCTAACCTGTGCGATCTGTTGTAGCTCATTAACGTGCATTGGTGGGGTGGAAGCTTCCATTGTTAGCTTTGCCTTCAGCTCCTAAAAATAAAGAATTTCTTCATCCACTTCATTTGGGGTGAGGGGAAAATGTTCTACTGAGCTGTCGCTTTAGCGCTCATCGTGAAGCCGTATTACCTGGGACTGCTCTAATGGGCTCTGACGTTTGTCAGACCACAGATGACTAGTTCTGCCCAGTTCCACCAGAACAAACCTGGTACGTTTTGAAGCTACTGGCCAAGTTCTTTAAATGAAAATGTGACCTTTCTGAAATTTTTCTTGGCCTTGAGCTGCCCAGACGCTCATTGTGTCCCTTGTAGTCCCAGACAGGGATCACTGTACCAAAACTTCAGCCTGCCAGCCGCGGTTCCTGAGTAGAACTCTAATGTCTTTTAGGCTGAGCTTTGTGTTTTTGCAAATTCTTGCCAAGCTGTCTGTCCAGTTCAGTCTGTAAGTGTGTTATACTCAAACATGAAGGTGCCAAAAAGGGTCCTTTATAGCGGTGCTATAGAAGAACCACTTTTGGTCGCCTACAGACCCTTCGGGTGTGTGCTTCTTTAAAAGGAAATTCCAAAATTGTTCATAATTGAGTGGTTCGGTGTGAAATGGTTCAGATGTCTTTACAGTGGTGGTGATAGGAACCAGGGGTCGCCATGACTACAACACAAATATAGACATTTTATTTACTATCCAGAACCACCAGTGAACCTACACGAGTCTTCTGATTTTATATGGAATGTTGATGATGGAAAATAGTGGAACATCTGAAATTATCTAGTTTGGGATCTATTTTGCCTCATAACACCCTGCATATTATGTATCCCTCCACCATGAATGTGTTTTAAAGGCGAAATCTTCTCAAAACTATCATAAAACAGTGTCTCAGTCATCAGGCAGTGAATTCATAACCATTTCATGTAGGAACTTTCTGTGAGGGAGCTTTTAGAGGTGGACGTCTGGTTCCTATCACCACCACTGTGAACAATTCTGACTCGGTGAGTTTCTCTAGAACAGAGAGTTTTCACACCAGACCACTCTGAATTATGCAGAAATTTGGAAAATTCATGTTTAAAGTTACACAAGTGTAGAACTTCCACAGAAAGGTTCTAAACCAAGCAAACCATTCAAGAACCTTTATTTTTAGGAGAATAGTGAAGGGAGGCAGTGGAGGTACTGCTTTCTTTTATACTCCCTTAAGGTCTAGACATTAACAGAGTAAGTCTGGGGTACAAACTCTACAGTACTGTGTAATTTTGGGTAAAATGATGGTAAGTTCTCAAACAGTCTGACTAAATTAAACTGAAATTCCAAACAAATTCTAGATAACAGGCTGATAAAGAACATAGTAAAACAACTCATAATGGAATAATTATTTGGAGTAATAAAGTGGCAAAAACAAAAATACTCAAACTATATTTCACTGTGATGTGACAGGAAAGTTAATCTGTAAGTACATGATAAGAAACCAGTAGAATCATAGCAAGAATCCTGGCTTTTTTGTGCAGTTTTGGTTCTAGATACATATTACATCTCCATTTATTGTTGTTTTTTTGTTGATGCACAAGTTGAAAATGCCAGCTGCTCTTAACAACGTGTTCAAATTTTATGATGACCGGACCAATAGAAACGCTCCAATTTTAATGATGAATGGACCAATAGAAAACGCTCAAATTTTAATGATGAATGGACCAATAGAAACGCCCAGATTTTAATGATGAATGGACCAATAGTAATCCTCCAATGTTAATGATGAACGGAATAAAACAAACGCTCCAATTTTAATGATGAATGGACCAATAGAAACAATCCAATTTTAATGATAAAAAAAGACCAAAATATTAACTTCTATTCAAAGTTGGGAACGTTTTTCCTTCTAATGTAAACGAACCATTTTGGAGATACAAATTTTTGTCAGACTTTTATGCCTTCAAGTGTCTTTGATTGTACTCAAAATAATCTCACTTGGAGATTGTTCCTCAGTCTTATCTAGAACCCATTGGGCATGTAATTTATTGCGTGGTTTTGGAACTTAACAACATGTTACTCAAAATAATCATCTACTCACTTGATTGTTGATTCTTCAGCAGTCAGTTAATATAGGCAGTGGTTCTATTTAGAACCATGAGTTCTGCGTAGAACCATTTGCATGCTCAAAGAGTTCTCTGCATGGTGAAATGGTTCTTCAGATTGATGGAGAACGTGTTTTATATGGTTCTGTGTAGCACCAGAAAGAGTTCTTCTTCTGTTTAACAGTAGCAGAACCCTTTTTGGCTAGGGGGCTGGTGAAGAACGTGTTCCCAGGCTGGCTAAGCTGTTCTTTATTATTTATAAAAATAATCTCTTTTTATGTTCTCGGGTTCTGTTTGTTTTCTTTTGAATGGTTATAAGTTTGGAAGCTACAACGTCAAGCAAAAAACAAACAAACTATCCACTCAAAACTTTATAAGACATCAGGATTGTAGATTTGAAGGGTTCTCCATGAGAGAACGCTGCCCTGCTGTGTGCTGATGGAATCATTTGCTTTAATAATCTGCATATTTAATACGCCGATTCAGATGCAGTGCCTCATAACTGATTCACGTCTGTCGTTTTCTCCCAAAATCTTCCGAAACACACCAAATGACGTCATCGCAACGGTTTAAAATTCCGCACCTCATGTTCAGGACTTGCCGCTATATCTGAGGTATTTTCCTATGAATTCTATAAGTGAATTATATTTATTTTGTCTTATATTTTTAATGAAACCAGTACCAGTGTTGCTTTCAGCTGCGCTCGCTATGATCCAGCGTTTCTGCTGCTTTCAGTCCGTCCACATGTAGAGGCTTTTATTACACAGTCGCCTACATACACGTCATGATGTTTACAGAACCTAACAAACTGCCATTCTAAATATGAGCTGAAAGAGCAGCAGTGGTTGTGCTGTCACAGTGTGACACCTATGAGGGGACGTTATTGTGACCGACGCTAACACGTTTCCAGCCGTGAGTGCTCTGCTGTGCTGTGGTCAGGGCTGGGCCGTGTGTCAAACTTTTATGATATATTTACAGTTATTTTCTTTTTTTTAAATCTTAATTTAAATCTGTTTAATTTTAAAATTAGGCAACACTGAAAATCATGGTGGACCCTAAAGCACTTTTTGTGTGCATAAAATGTTCAGGACAATTAGGTGGTTTAAGGTTTGGTGTGAAATGCTCTGTTCTAGAGTCAGAACTGGTCACAGTAGTGGTGATAGGAACCAGACGTCCACCTCTAAAAGCTCCCTCACAGAAAGTTACTACATGAAATGGTTATGAATTCACTGCCTGATGACTGAGACACTGTTTTATGATAGTTTTGAGAAGGTTTTCGCCTTTAAAATCCATTCATGGTGGAGGGATACATAATATGCAGGGTGTTAGGAGGCAAAATAGTCCCCGAAGAAAACTGATTATTTCAGATTTTCCACTATTTTCCATCATCAACATTCCATATGAACTCAGAAGACTCGTTTATAGTTTTTTTTTTCCAAACAAAATGTTACATATATATGAAGTGTGGTTCTAAATGAAATCGTTCTAGCCTTATCGCCCAGTCCTAACTTTAGTACATCAGGTTTTCACTTCTGCACTCTTAAAAACATGGTTCTTCAAGGGCTCTTCAGAAACAAGAAATGGTTCTATATAGAACCATGAATAATGAGCAATCAAAGAACCTTTTACATGATTAAAGGGTTCATTGCATCATGAAATACTTCCCTAGACTGATGGTTAATGTCTGGTGTATGGTTCTATATAGAACCGTTTCGAAAAGGGTTCTGTATAGCACCAAAAAGTGTTCTGCTATTGTTACACTGTCAATCTTAAATCATTTTCAATAACGTTCCACATAGAACCACCTTCAGCACATTCTCTGTAAGTCTGAAGAACACTTCCAACATGCAAAGGGTTCTTTGAGTGCTCACGATTCTATATAGAACCTTTTTTTTTTTTTACTAAAGAACCCTTGAAGGACCATCTCAAGTGTGTATGGCAGTAAAATCTGGACAGTTCAGTGTCACCGAAGCTCTTTCAGCTCAGTTTCTCACTCATCTAAACACCAAATTCACAGTAGATTCCAAAAAGTTCTCAAACTGTAGCTCAACATGGACGGTTCTGAGTTCTAACGTCTGTCTGATGTTCTTTTTGTGCAGGTACTTTGAAAGGAAAAACACTTTTTCTGTAAATTTACTGTTACTTTGATACAATGAACAGTGTTATCGCCCCTCGTCCTGTTATTAAGCTGAAAAATAATCATTTATGATGTTTTTATGAATTATTTAATTGAAATACTACTTCTGAGTATTAGCACCTTATGCGTCATTGGTACTTTCCACAAATTTATTGTCAATATAATGTTGTTTATATCTTGATTTTTGGTTAAATGTGGACGTGTGAAGGATCTGACCATTGAGAAAGTAAACAAATAACACATATGAACAAAGTAAAGTTGAGAATGTTCTTCTATATGTTATAATTTCGCATATTTCAGAACTGTGAGGCGACTAAAAACAAAAATTATCTGTATTTTTAGAAAATATATCTCTATTTTGTTAACTACCACTACTTTGCCCCTCACATGAACCCGATTGATTATAAAAGTAGCCTTCGTGTGCCCAGATATCAGGGAATTATGGCTTTTATTTTGTTTATTTTTAAACATATTCATATTCACAGCAGTTGGAGAGCAAACTGAGTGTGTCGCCTGCCTTTCAGCGGGTAAATGAAGCGTTAAAATGGGTCTAAAACCATGAATATGAACACAGTGGTTGCTGTACCGACACCATCGGCTGCTGTTGATACATTACATGCCTGTACAGCTGGTTTTATAATGAAGTCAATATTGTATTTAGTGATGATCATCGTATTGTGAATAAGAAATAAATGGAAATTTATACAGTGAGACGTCGGTTTGATTTCACAGAGGAGTGAACAGTGTTGATCGACTGTGATGAACGTTGTCTTTCGGTTTTAGTCATAAATTATGCAGTAAATTCACTCAAGCAGCACCGTCAGTGTGACGGAACCATCATATCTGCTCAGATTATAAATCCTGTATGAATTTAATAACATTTATACTTAAACTGACTTTGTTTCGGTGATCTAAGTGAATATTTTATCAGGTTTCAATTATTGGTGAAATCGTATCTCTTGTGAAAAAGAAGCATAATTAAGTGCATAAAGTATACAGACAAAACTAAAAGTACTTTTATTACATTTCCTTTAAAATTATTTCATGAATTTTACAGAACCTAAAACATACATTTTCTGTGTCTTTTCAAAAATTATATTTTTAAAGTAACACATTTTAAATTATACTTAAATTTGCTGTAAGACTTAAGCACACTTAAACAAAGAGCCTATTTAATTGTCTTCTACTTAAGTGTATTATTTAGACGTATGTTTTAAAGCAATATTTTTTTGATTTAGTACATTTTAGTTGAAACATAAATCAACTTAATTAGCAATTAAATATAGGTGTCAGTACACCAAAGAGTTTCAATTTAAAATATATTTCAAGTGTAGTAGAATTTCTTTCTTTACATTTGCTTTAGTTAACTGCAACTAAAGCTGTGTTTAATAATAACACAATAATATTTTTGTTTATATACTTGTTTTATCAAAAGTACAGTTTGTTGAATGTATTTAGTGTATTTAGTGATGTTTGAATGTGCTTAAAATGATTTAAGTGCGTTTCAGTTGCAGTTCACTTTAACGAGCAGTGCCGTATTCTTGCATCCAGCAGTGAATTTACAATATATTCCACATGTAAACAGTGATGTCTACAAATTACATACGTAAATGTATTTAGGTACAACTTAAGTAGTTTATAAAAAGCACTCAAAAGCACAGCTAAATGTATGTATTAGATATCTTTAGTCATAGCTTAATTTAAATTTTGATACATTCCAATTGTCAGTAATTGTTCCAAAATAATAGATACAGTGTGTTAAAGTATATTTAAAGTGTAAACATTAAAAGTATGTACTTTTCATATTAAGTACACTTAGAAAAGTACACTTAAATGCATTTCTCTTTAACAAGAGATCAGCGCCAGCTTAAAAATGATGGTTCTGTAAGGGTTCTTTAGTAAAGAAAATGGTTCTATGTAGAACCATGAACAATCAAAGAACCCTTTGCATCAGATTGATGGAGAATGTGCTGTAGATGGTTCTATATAGAACCTTTTTTGAAAATGGTTCTAAAAAGCACCAAAAACAAGGTTCTTCTGTTGTTACAGTGTCAAGGTTGTACAAAAGAAGAACACTTTTGGGTGCTATTTAGAACCCTTTTCAAAAAGGTTCTATATAGAACTTGCTGTAGAACATTCTTCATCAATCTGAAGAACCTTTTCACAATGCAAAGAACATTTTAACCATGAAAAAAGGTTCTTTGAGTGTTCAAGGTTCTATATAGAACCATTTTCCTTAATAAAGAACCCTTAAAACACCATCTTTTTAAAGAGTGTACAAGCTATTCATGTTTCAGGAGATATATGTGAGGAGGTTAAATAAAAGATAATCAACTTTCATAAGGAAGGAAAAAAAAAAGTGAAAAAACAAGAGTTCCCAAAACTGGAGTTCAAAAACTGATTAAAAGCTCCAGAGAAAGTGAGACTCCTAACAACCACCTGGAAGAGCTGGTCGACCCCAAAACTGCCCCCCATCAGATAAACAGCACTTAAAGCTTTCATCTCTGAGAGAGAGGAGAAAATCAAGCTGCTTCAGATCTGAAAACATCCACAGGTGTTTCTGTCCATCCTTCCACTGTGAGAAGACGACTCAGCGCTGTGGGTCTGAAAGGATGTGTAGCTGATCAAGAAGAACCTCACTGAGAAAAGGAGACGGACACATCGAACAAAGAAGCTGGACGATTGACTGACCACCCCAAGGAATGGTTCAAGAAGCATTTAATTTATATTTACAGATTAAAAATATATATGTAAATGTACAAATACACTTCTTATAAAACCCAACCTTAGAACCACGTTTTATCAAAATGAATATAAAATAAACAGATGAACAGATAAATATTGTCCTCAGTGAAAGTTTAACGCGGTCATTTCTTCGCCGGTTTCTTGGCTCCTCCTTTGGCCCCACCTTTCTCGTCTCCGCCCCCTTTCTCTCCTCCTTTTTTACTCTTCCCTCCTTCTGATTCGCCTTTCTTCGACGCCCCTTTTTCTCCCTTTTCTCCCTTCTCTCCTTTTTCTCCTTTCTCTCCTTTCTTCTTGCCTGCTTCACCCTTCTCCTCCGCTTTACCGTCCTTCGCTCCTTTTCCCTCCTTTTTCCCTTCCTTGTCTTTCTTCTTCTCTCCTTTCTCCCCGTCCACTTTCCCCGAGACGGTGGCCACTTCCTCCTTCTTCTCGCCAGGTTTCGCCGCTGAAAGTGGGGAAAAAGAGAAAAGAAAAATCTCCACCATTACTGACTGTCTGATTATCAAGAGCGCTAATCATGGCTGGCTGGTTATCTGGCCAAACCAGCTTTAGCTACACACTTAAAAAAGATGGTTCTTCAAGGGTTCTTTAAAGAAAATGGTGCTTTATAGAACCAGGAACTCTCAGAGAACCCTTTACATGATTAGAGTTCTTTACATGGTGAAAGAGTTCTTCAGAATGATGGAGAATGTGGTGAAGATCTATATAGCACCAAAAAGGGTTCTTCTATTCGTATGATGTCAACCTTGTATACAATATTAGAACCCTTTTTGATGCTATATTTTCAAAAAGGTTCTATATAGAACCATCTTCAGCACATTCTCCATCAATCTGAAGAACCATTCCACCATGTAAAGAATCCTATAATCATGCAAAGGGTTCTTTGAATGTTCAGGGTTTTATAAAGAACCATTTTCTTTACTAAAGAACCCTTGAAGAACCTTCTTTTAAAAGAGTTTACATTCAAAGAAAGACGCTTTATACAAGCACACCATTCCCACTTAGTCCAAACGTTCCCTATCAGACCAAACATTCCCAATCTGACCAAACATTCCCTATCAGACCAAACATTCCTGATCAGACCAAACATTACCAATCAGACCAAACATTCCTAATCAGACCAAACATACCAACCATCACCAATCAGACCAAACATTCCTGATCAGACCAAACGTTACCAATCAGACCCAACATTCCTGATCAGACCAAACATTACCAATCAGACCCAACATTCCTGATCAGACCAAACATCCTCAATCACACCAAACATCACCAATCAGACCAAACATTCCTGATCAGACCAAACATTACCAATCAGACCAAACATTCCTGATCAGATCAAACATACCAACCATCACCAATCAGACCAAACATCATTAATCAGACCAAACATTCCTGATCAGACCAAACGTCACCAATCAGACCAAACATTCCTGATCAAACCAAACATCAATCAGACCCAACATTCCTGATCAGACCAAACGTCACCAATCAAACCAAACATTCCTGATCAGACCAAACATTACCAATCAGACCCAACATTCCTGATCAGACCAAACATTCTCAATCACACCAAACATCAATCAGATCAAACATTCCTGATCAGACCAAACATTACCAATCAGACCAAACATTCCTGATCAGACCAAACATTACCAATCAGACCAAACATTCCTGATCAGACCAAACATCAATCAGACCAAACACTCCTGATCAGACCAAACATCACCAATCAGACCCAACATTCCTGATAAGACCAAACATTCTCAATCACACCAAACATCACCAATCAGATCAAACATTCCTGATCAGACCAAACATTCCTGATCAGACCAAACATTACCAATCAGACCAAACATTCTCATTCACACCAAACATTACCAATCAGACCAAACATTCCTGATCAGACCAAACATCAATCAGACCAAACACTCCTGATCAGACCAAACATCACCAATCAGACCAAACATTCCTGATCAGACCAAACATCACCAATCAGACCAAACATTCTCATTCACACCAAACATTACCAATCAGACCAAATATTCCTGATCAGACCAAACATCACCAATCAGAGCGCACACTCCTGATCAGACCAAACATTCCTGATCACACCTAAGATTCCCAATCAGACCAAACGTCACCAATCAGACCAAACATCACCAATGAGACCAAACATTCCCGATCAGACCAAACATTCTCAATCACACCAAACATCGCCAATCAGACCAAACATTCCTGATCAGACCAAATATCACCAATCACACCAAACATTCCCAATCAGACCAAACATTCCCAATCAGACCAAACATTACTAATCACACTAAACATCAGCAATCAGACAAAACATTCCTGATCAGACTAAACATTACCAATCAGATCAAACATTCCTGATCAGAACAAATATCACCAATCATCCCAAATATTACCAATCAGATCAAACATTCCCGATCACACCAAACATTACAAATCAGACCAAACATTCTGGAGCTGGAATGGTGTTAATATCTCACAAACTTTGGGACGGGTTAATGGACAAAAAATGTGTACCATGAGATAGAAGAAGAAGAAGAAGAGGAAAAAGGAGGAAGAAGAAGATTTGCTTCATTATGTAACTATTATAAATTAATATTGTATTATTAATCAGTAGCCTACATTCCCAAAGTGCTGTTGAAAATGCAGAGCAGACCTCAGTGAGGCAGAGTGAAGTGAATGAATCTGGGCCTGAAGCTGCTGTTTGTGGCTGCAGCTTAAAATCCGTCCTTTCACGTTACGCGAGTGCGGATATTTGTACAGTGCTGTGGAAATCGTCCACAGAGGCGTGACATCCAATTACAGCTAAATTCCAGCCTGAGTGTTGCACTTAGGCAGAGGACGCGCTGCAGATTGGAAAATGTGTTAGCTTGACGCGCGCTGACAACACAGAAACACCGATTTATGGGATTTTTCTCTCTTTTTTAGCTTTTGCCCATCCTGAGGATGCTAAATGATGCCATATAGTTGCAATGCAAAGCCAATGGCAGAACATGCTCAAACAGAGGAAGGCAAAATGTCCCCATATACAATTTTACACTCAGTAAAATAATTTAATTACACCACACATTTCCATTCCATCAATTACAGCAGAGTCAATGTATACATGTTTTGGTCTTAAAGGTGAATTACACTCAATTTTCTAAATTAAATGGGGACGTAAACAGAGTCATTCAGAGTTGTTTGGTCTGAAATGCTCCATTCTAGAGTCAGAACTGTTCACAGTGGTGGTGATAGGAACCAGACGTCCACCTCTAAAAGCTCCCTCACAGAAAGTTACTACAGGAAATGGTTATGAATTCACTGCCTGATGCCTGAGACACTGTTTTATGATAGTTTTATGAAGACTTCACCTTTAAACTCCATTCATAGTGGAGGGATACATAATATGCAGGGCGCTGTGAGGCAAAATAGTCCCCAAAGGAAACTTATTATTTCAGATTTTCCACTATTTTCCATCATCAACATTCCATATAAGCTCAGAAGACTCCTGTAGGTTCACTGGTGGTTTTGATAGTAAATAAAATGTCTATATTTGTGTTGTAGTCATGGTGACCCCTGGTTCCTATCACCACCACTGTAAAGACATCTGAACCATTTCACACCAAACCACTCTGAATCTCTCTGCTTATGTACAGTATTCCCCTTATTTGTGCACCCACTGCTGACACATGCAGCTTGTATAATATCCACAGAAAAGCACTGACCAATAAAGATGGACACTTTGTGGCAGCTGCTCATGAGCCTAAGGTCACCATGCCCAGTAGAACTGTGTTCTCTGGAGTGATGGAGCTCCATCCAACACATTTGGGATGAGTTAGTGATCCAGAACTGACCATCCAACATCAATACCTGACCTCACTAATGCTCAATCAAATCCTCACAGCAATGTTTAACATCTAGTGTAAAGCCTTCCCAGAAGAGTAGAGACTGTCACGGCAGCACAGACTCACTATTAACACCTTCATTTTGGAGGAAATGCAGGATATTTGCGTTTTTACTGTTTATGGCTGATGATGTTGGCTAAGTGCACCAAAATTAAGGCCACGCCCAGATTGTAGACTATATACACTATACAGTGAGACTGAAATAGTGAAAGAGTGAAGTAGTGAAATGCTTCTATTTTACATTCTTTTCTATTAAATGCAAAGTTTTTGTTGATAAATTATATCATCAGCATAACAAGTAGAATCCCTGCATATTTACATGAATATCAGAATGTATTAGTATTTGCTGCAGCGTGTCCCTCTGCTTTAATGACAACATGCACTCGAGCTGAACTCCACAAGTTTGTGCAGAGCCTCTGATGAGCAGATCAAACCCACCTGAGAGTCGTCTGAACATGAGCTTCACTGGAAGCAACACGATTCAAAATACATCTGATCTTTTTGTACAGACACTAAAAAAATATGAAACTTCTGCAACTATAAAAAAGTCAGTCAACCTGGTTGACTGAAAGTGAGTTGACTGGGCTTCAAATATGAAGTTAGCACTAATGAATTATTTAACAAATTAATTCATGTGTAAAACAAACTGTTGGTCCATTAGCTTGATATTACACTGCAAAAATCAAGTGTCAAGCAAAATTATCTTAAATATAAAATATATTAAGACATTTTGTTGAGTAAACTCATCTCACTATATTGGAAGATCACTTTGCTTGTTGTAAGAAATGTGCTTGAAACCAGCAAAATTACCTGCCAGTATAGTGAGACCATTTTACTAAATAAAATGACTTAAAACAGGTATAAAATGTCTAGAATTCAGCTAGATAATCTTAAAATAAGTGCACAACCATCTCAAAATGGAAATATTAGACATATTGACTAGATTTAAGATCATTTCCCTTGACAAGACACCATTTTTGCAGCGTAGAAGTTCGATGAACTGAAAAAAAATCATAAAATCAACCAGATTGACTTACTTTTTTGGTTAAAAACGTGCATTTTTTTACAGCGAAGGACATTCAAATAGTAAACTTGGCCTGAAATCTTAAACACTTCTTTGTGATTTTATTTGTCATAATTTTCTTTGTTTTAAAAGGTTTAAAATTTCTAAAATGTTGTTGTTTGTTTGCAGTTTTAGATGAAGAAATCTCAGATCTTCAATGTGCTCTCAGACGTTCGGCCTCAGTTTTGATCAACCTCATTTTTTTCATGTTTCAGTGCCTCAGAGTAACGAGTACATAGTGAACAATAAATGGCTAAAAAAATACTATTTCACTCAATATTCCAGAATCATTTTCTCATATTTCTACTGATTCTGTGACAGACCATATACAGGACCACGTTATCCATCACCGGATTGATTTCCTATACATGTTAATGTGTTACTTTACAGCGTGTTGGCTTTCTGGCCGTGTCTCTGCAGTGTGGTCTCTAGCGTGTGGTCAGGCCGCTGTGTTTCTATTCT